ACAAACAGGACAAACATTACAGTTTCTTGTGCATGTGGGCTACCATTTAGAATACTATCTTGAAATACAACCATCACATGCACCAATAACAAGCTGTTCTCCGCCAAACTGACAATTATGGCAACAAATCAATGATTACAGAAAATAGAACAGCATTTTTACCAAAATAATTTTATTTCAGTAAAATGCTGAAGGTATACTACCCAAATCTGAGTTTGTGATAGGAAGAGACTTGAAACAATCAAAGGTCTGTAATTTTCAGAAACTTTGAACTCCAGTAACATACTGATTAAGTTCGGCTTCAATTTAAAAAAGCGGCAAAAGTTGATTAACTACTAATAATGCTTCATGTCGCAGTCTGCAAGCCATTTGCAGAATTAATTTTCATCCGCATGGATCCATAATGAGAGTTGTGACACACTAACCCCTCAAGCAAATCCATTTGCAAATAGATGATACTTAAAAAATTGAAGATTCATGATTAACAGCATAAAGAAAGAATTTAACTAACGTATACAGTTAGATTTCACAGAAATCAGAACTAAAATTCATTACCGGTAGCAACTCATAACACAAAACTCGAACTTGATGGCAATCAGCAGCCATTCCAAATATCATCCAAATTGTCATCAACAATTAAATATGTTTAAATGGAACAGAACGCTTCGAACACACCAAGTAAACAAAATGGAGAACAAACAATTAATAATTTAATGGTTGCGAGCTGTCAACTAGTCTCAACACTATTAGCTACATAGCAAATACATCTACAAAGCTTCCAAATGGATGCTTCCCAAAAATAGATTGCAGCAAAGTTTATATTATGATTTCTGATTGACCTTATTTCAGAGCAAACGGAAATAATGCACGTGTGATCTCGATTCAAAATTAAAAAAAAAAGGATGTAAAATAGAAGGCGGAGCCAAGGATTAATACTAGTATGTTGATTGAGAAACGGTGCAACGCCGTTAAATAGTATCTGTCTCTAGCCGGTGGCGTCTCCGGCGAGATCAGCGGCCGTGGCGGTGGGATTGGCGGCGAGGAGGAGTGAAACCGGGAGGTAGTCGTGCTCCTAAGGCAACTCTGCAATTAGGGCAGAAGAAGACTAATAAAAAAACATCGACTCTTTTATGTCGGGCAACACAACCCTGGTTTGGGCCCTTTAGGCCCAAGATTTATCAATCTGGAAGGCCCACTTGACCAAATGTTTGGGCTACCATTATGCGGCCTTGGTGGGAAATGGAGATATTGTATTGAATTTTTAATTTCTATACACTGCATTTTACTCTTTTACATCCTTTTTAAATCGACGGTTTCCAAAAACTTTTTGGAAATAGCACCACCGGCAATTTGGTTTAATTGTGATTTTTTTGATCCAGGTGAGGAGTTTTAATTGTGTTCATTGCGTGATTAAACTTTTTTTTTAATTATTATTTTCTCTTTTATTAATAAAAATTGTATAAAATCTGGTTTTATGTTGGTTTGGAATTTGGATAACTGAATGATTAGATTTCCATTGGCACCAAAATAAATCCATATTGCATATATCCCGAAAACTTGATTTTTAGTCTCAAAAGTATATGGGTCTTATAAAACTAAATTTTATTATTTAAAACTAAATGTTTTTTTTTTCTAGGAAATTTAGCATCAATGGTGGTTTTATGAGCTATTATTTTTGGACATCATAAGTTATGTGGGAAATTAGATAAACTTCTGTTTTTGAATCAGAAGAATGACTATGAGAATGACCAACTAGTGTTCATTACTTGTTATGTGGTTCATTTTAAGTTTGGATTCATCAAAGTTGAAGTGCAGTTGTTTTGAAGTTTGAAGGTAACATGGTAAAAGCTTATATGAAACAAATTAGTTTTTACTTATAATATTTTCAGAGTTATACTTTGTTGTGTTTTAATGTTTTTTAGGTACAATGGATTGAAATTCACAAGTCAACTTTGTAGCTTTGACGACTTTAAGTAGTTTATTTTGCAGTACGGTTCATTAAACTGCTGAAATTGTATTGGTTGATATTTTTTTACTGTCACGTATTTTTATAAATGTGGTTTGTATTTTCATAAGTGTAGTGTGAGGTTGGAGTTTTGTAATATATTTTTTAATATGAGGTAGGTATGAAAATTCGCCGCGAATGGACATAACTACCCCATATGAAAAAAACATTCCATAACAAAAACCAGCCATCAAAAGGATTCCAAATTTTCAAAACTTGTTTTTTTCCTTCTTTCTCTTATTTTTTTTCATTTATTTTCTATATACTTTTTCTTCTTCTAATTCTAATTTGAATGCACAGGAGAAAAACACCAATAATAATAATAATAATAATAATCTATAAATATATAAAAAGAATAACCATTTTTTAATAATAGAAAGTCAAACCTTTAGTCAAAATGTTTTAGCATTTATTACTTTCTATAAGTAGCAATTTATTGCATTATTTCCTTAATTCTAGCTTGCAACATTAAATCCACTTGCAACAATAAATCCAATATGCTTTTGGTTTAAATTTAAACTTTATGTTCAAAATACATTAAATTCGATTGTTCTCTTAATTCACGCTTGGAAAAATAATCTGTTTGCAACAATAAATCCGATAGGCTTTTGTTTTAAACAATCCGTTAAAATCGTTTACAATCGCCACAAAATATCATCATCTGTATTATGCTTTTTAATATTGTTTGTTATCAGTAAAAAAAAAATCTGTCAAATTTTGTTCGGCTGTTGATTCAATGACCATAAATTTGGATTCCTATTAGGAATAAAATTGTTAATTTCCAAATACAACATACAAAAAAATAATAATAATAATTAATTTGGCTTTTGGTTCCATACACTATTAAAGATCGGACTGTACAAAAAATCTCATTAACGCATACACGCCTAAAAATTCTCAAGGTAATCTATCGGCTTTTGGTTCTATACACCAGTAAAGATCGGACTATAAAAAATCTCATTAATGCATATCCACCTAAAAAATCACATGTAATTTTACAGAATAGATCGCTCGATAAATTTAAAAAATCTCATCTCTTATGTATTTATTCTAACAGATTTAAAAAAAATAATTATAACATATTTTTTTTTCTTACAAAAGTTAATTCACTCTAAAGTCTAATTGCTAATATAAATCTTGATCTACGGTAAGAATTTTTTTAAAAAGTTAATTTTCACCTATCTAAATACTAATATTTTTCAAATATTATTAACATTTATAATATTGGAGATATTTTAAACATTATCTGGACACAGATTAAGGAGCTATATGTATATATATATGGAGGATATACAGATATTTTTGCATCTTGGTCTTTTTCTAAAGAAACTTGTCTTTAGTCATGACCAATTATATGTTGTTGTTTCGCGTGTAACTAATAGAAGGGAGTTGAAGATATTAGTTTGTGAGAATGACGAGTTGTCCAATAATCAAACTCATAATGTTGAAGATATTAGTTTGTGAAAATGACAAGTTGTCCAATAATCAAACTCATAATTCTGTGTACAATGAGGTGTAGTCAGGATTCATGGCGATTTGGTTGTAGAAAAAGCATCCATGATCCAACCCAAAATAGTCTTTGGGAAGCTTCGCCCCAACGAACGAAGCAAAGTGAAGTGAAGTCAAAGATAATATATGATTGTTTCTTTGTCCAATACTATCTTATTGTACAATTTTCCTACGTATTATAAAATTTTTATTTAATATTGCATCTTATAATATAATATTCTG